GAAAGCAGTTGAGGACAACCCAAAGTCTTGAGGCCCTGCACCCACGTGGGAGAACCAGAAGAGGATCTGGGCTCCTGGCTTCAGGTCAGGTCAGCACAGCACCGGCCGTTGCGGCTCACTTGGGGAGTGAATCATCAGACGGAAGATATTCCTCTCTGCCTCTCCTCTTCTCTGTATATATCTGACTTTGCAATGAAAATAAATAGATCTTTTTTTTTTAAGTTTACATTTCCTGTTTTATTCCTTGCTTTATTTCTGTATTCAGACATTTCTGGTTGGAAATACAGCCTAGACCAATTCTAGCAAAAAAAAAAAAAAAAAAACAAGAAACAAGTTAACTGGCTCACAGAACTAAAAATTGCTAAAGGAGCTTACAAAATTAAAACAAGGTCTGAAAAAACTAGTCTTGCAAGCCAGGGTTTCAACATGACCAGAAGCTTCTTTCCTATTACATCTCTCTGCTTAGCTTTACACTGTGGATTGACTGTCCCCAGTGACAGGATGTTGGCAATCCCAGATGTATCATCTTCCAGCCTATTAACTCAGTAAAGACTGTTTCCCTTCTCCAGCCTCCACATATCCAGATAACCCTTGATGCTCTCTTTGGCCCACACAGCCACCCATCGGACCAATCACTGATGTCAGCAGGCTGCTGCACTCTTACTAGGCAGGTTGCTGTTGTTAGGTACCAAAATCCTATGGAGTTGAAACTGGAAAGGGACTTACATCACACAGTCAAATTAAAGTACGCACATTTAGGCAGTTCAATCATCCTTACCCTATGTTGCTATTCAAAACATAACTTTTGTATAGAAAGATTAAATCTGTTGGCTTCTACAGAAATATTTTCTCCAACATACTCTGTAATAGTGGATCTACCACTGATTATAGTTTAATGCAATTCCCTACTTTGTGAAAAGAATGTTAGCTGCCTACAACCTTCCGGCTGGAGTGAATACTGTTGAAAACTTGAAATGGTACCTGAGAGACTTGACAACTCTTTGTCACTTTCTGCTGTTAATTGGAACTGAAACTGAAGCCTTGTGTGTGCAGCACTATGTCAGATAACACCATGAACATCCTTCCAGCAATAGTAGCTCAGGACATTAAAGCTAAAACATTTTATGCCCAATGGCTTGTGGGTGATAATGTAAAACCCCTTTTGTAACTGTCTAATTGCTTGGTGTTTTCAATTTCTTTCCTCAATTAATACTGTGATACAGAGTACAATGCTCTCCTTATGTGAACGTTCTCTTCTAAATTCAGTGAACAAGGAGCTTTATCTTTTGGGCTAAGATAATGCTTTTCCCTTCCAGCTGTAACATTCTGTGCAGTTTTATCTTATCCTGGAATGCCTGAAATGACCTCTTGCAATGCACCTCTCAACTCTTCCCTGCTTTTTGGACCTGCTGATCCTCCCAAGCCTGATAAAGAAGTCTGACCTGCAATGCCTCATTAGCATTGTAGATCTCTGGTCCTTTACTAGTATCTAATACCCAATAGTTTATCTTTGCCACTCTACGACCTGGTAGCTGAACTTTGCCACTGTAGCTTCCTTTAACAGAGTTAAATTCCTGAAGAAACCATAAAGCAATAGATTTTTGTTGTCGTCATTGTTGTTGTTGCTGGGTTTTATTTTTTAGTGGCTCCCTGCTTGGAATGAAGAGATCAAAAATCCAAATCTTCCTTCTAAAAACCTACTCTTTTGAGGCATCTCATTTTAAACACGCTTCATAACATATTTTCCTTTTTTTTTTAATTTTTAAATTCCATGGTGTTGCCTGGTATTAAACTGAAAAATTCCAAGTACTGTAATCAAAATTTCTCAGAAGGAAAAAAAAATAGCCAGTTGTTTATAAATCTAGATTTACCACATGAATAATGTTAGTAATATTTTTAAGAACTTGGAAGATAAAGACAGTAATATATTTGTTTTATTTTGACAAATAAAACAAAAGTAAAATGCTGCTTTCATAGACAATTAAAGCAATGATATATTTTTTTTTTTAAAGATTTATTTTTTTATTATTTTTTCATTGGAAAGGCGGATATACAGAGAGGAGAGACAGAGAGGAAGATCTTCCGTCCGATGATTCACTCCCCAAGTGAGCGCAACGGGCCGATACTATGCCGATCCGAAGCCAGGAGCCTCTTCCGGGTCTCCCACGCGGGTGCAGGGTCCCAAAGCTTTGGGCCGTCCTGGACTGCCTTCCCAGGCCACAGGCAGGGAGCTGGAAGGGAAGCGGGGCTGCCGGGATTAGAACCGGCGCCCACATGGGATCCCGGGCGTGCAAGGCGAGGACCTTTAACCACTTGCGCCACCGCGCCGGGCCCAGCAATGATATTTTAATTAACAAGGAAATAGCAATTATTCTAAAAATTAAAAATTTTTCCTATAATTAGTGTTAATTCTTTTTTCTTTAAAAGCTTCCTCAGCATGGACAGGAAGACAGTCCCACACTGCATGCTTTATATGAGTACAGCTTTATAATGTCATAATCTTTTGCAGCACTGTAAACTTGCCAAAAAAACAGTAAATTGTATTGCCAAGGTTTTCAGACTTAAACCTACATTTTATTGTACTAATATCCCTGAACAAATAGAGACACCATATTTCATTACTATACATACAAAAGAATATCAAAAACAATACAACAGTTTGGCAGACAATCAATATTAGTTTTTGTAAGCCTTTGTAAAAAAAAATATTTTCTATTTCATGGCTATATATTTTCTAATAAGATTCATTTTTTGAAAATGGATGTATTCTTTATCTTAAAGAGAGAATTTTATTTCTTTTATGGGCTTCACTATTTCAAGTCGCAGTTAGAGAGACTTTCACACTCAGAAGTGCATTCTGAGACAATTCTGACCTCACTTCTCTTTATTCACCTGTTGCTCATTAGGTGACACGCAATTCTGTGACAGTAATACATCTAGAACGGTTCTTCTCCACCACTCCCCGTTTTCTAACATTAGAGATGTCCATTTGTCACAGCGAATCCAAAGGCTTATGAGTCTTTTACAGGAAGAAAAACTGGATATTCCAAATAAAAATTAATCGCAAAAAGTTAGAATAGCTACAATAAAATCAAAGTAGACTTCGGAGCAAGTGATACTAAAAAAAAAAAGGACATTACTTCATGGAAAGCGTCAGTCCATTAGAACAACATAATAACTTGATCTATATACCATCTAATTATAGAGTTTCAAAAAACATAAAGCAATAAAAATGAAAGAAGTAGATAATTCTTACCTCAGTAATGTCTAGGGTAGTAAGAAAATCAGTAAGGATACAGAACTGAACAAAAATATCTATCAACTTGTCCAAACTGATCTACATAGAAACCTCCATTCAGCAGCAAAATACGCATTCTTTTCTACTGTACATGGAACATTTACCCCAAAAAAACCAACTAGCAGCTGTGATTCAGTTTTTAAACCTAAATGTTCAATATTGATAGAAAAAGTATTGGTTCGCTGGACAACAATTTCTGATGATGAATATTCTTAGATTGGTATTATTGTGTTACGTGCACTGGAGCCATCAACTTTACCCCTTATTTCCAGGTGGTACATCATAATAAAAGCAAATTTAGTGATTCTACAAATTTCCAACAGCAAGTAGGCATGAAACAGTTCTTAGATGCCGGAAACAAGCACACCATACAAAATCTCATTCCATCACAGATGCAATGATATCTAGCTGTCAGGGTGAGTAGACGTCCTGCTATATTGGGTAGGCAGCCAGTTATACTGGCTAAATCATACTGAATTACTCCACAAAAATAGAGATCACAAGAAACATAGAGCCTTAGAACTAAGGAGATATTCTGCCATACTTAGGATGTGGTTCTTACAAGATTATTTAATTTCTTTATTCAAGGACGGTAAAGCCTACAAAATCTTTTTTGCCTCTTACTTATCTTCAACACTGTTCATTTCACCAGCAAAACAGTCTTCCTTAAATCCTCTGTGGTAATTCACAGTCCTGTCGTTATGATTCAAGTATCAATATTTGAAATATTGCTGTACCTACCTTCCCGCTGTAGAGTCTTAAGTGTGATAATTCACAAACCATCAGATACCTCTAGGGTATCATTTAAATTAAATTTCACTTAAATATATATTGCACTGCATATTAATCATAAGTAAACATATTAAGTCATATGAGCCAAGAATATATAATTCAATATACCAAAAACATACCAAAATACTTTAAACAAAATTACCAAAAAAGAAACCCATAAGCGCAGCACAGGAATTTATAACAACAAAGAAAAAAAAGGGAAAAAAAAACCCTTCTTTGTTGGCATTTTTCCTACTGTCTCGTAACAATTCTCTAACTACCATTCTAGTTTTCCCAAGAACAAAGCAAACTAGATGTCTGCAGATAATAGGACTTTTTTTTAGCATCTATTGAAATAACGTATTTGATAAAGGCAATGATTTTTAAATCAACACTAACCAGTGGAATGTAAATCATCTTAATTCTAGGAGTGCAGAAAATGCATTCTCCTTGCATCGAGTGCCATTACCACAAGGATTATTCTCAACTGCAACTGGGTTCTATCAGTTCACTGATTTTAATCATGGACAGTTACATCACTAAATTGCACTCTTCCCACTGCGGCACTGAAAAAATGTTAACCTCCCACATTCCAATTCAGTTTCCACAGAAGCTTATCTAAACCTTGCCCAACTTTTCGAAGGATTTCCTTCAGTGCTACAGAAAACCATTAGGGGTCTAAGTTTTCTTTGAAGACGTTGACGTGATCTTAAAACTATGAATTTCGCGTCTCAACGAACCGTCTATCAGGGGCAATTCAAAGACAGGTGTCAGTTCATACTTAGAAACTCCAGACGTCTCCACAATCTTGGCTAAGCCCAGCCCGACCTTAAGGGAGCCGGGAGGGACCTCGCCGCGGCCAGGCGCCACGCAGGACCAGCCGGGCACGAGGGACGGCGCGGGGACCTTGGCAGGCCCGGGCTTACCCGACATGGCGGTCAGCAAGGACGGCTGAGCAAACCTGCTCGGCGAGGGAGGGCAGCTCGGCCTCGGAGCAGGTGCTGGCGGCAAGGCCCCCGGGATCCTTCTGGTCACCTCACCTTTCCGCAAGCCTGGGTCCCGGGGAGGCGTGGAGAAGGGACTGCCGTTGCGACTAGCATTTTTTTTTTTTCAGGGTTCATCCACAGGCAAAGGCCCGGCCTCAGGAAACAGCTGTGGTCAAGCCCGGGGATCTCTGCGTGAGGCCTACGACGGAAGTGCCCCGCAACTAAACCCGGAAGCTCTTCGGAGGCGCCACTGCCTGGCGGTGGCGCAGGGCTCGGCCTGCAAGCACAGGCCTCCTGCGCCGCTTGCTCGGCCGCCAAGGTCTCCCGGGCTGTAGGCAGCGCCTCCAAACCTCAGAATTCCCCTCCCTACCCCCCGAAGAGCAGAGGAGTTGCATTTGAATTGAAAGCAAACCGTCAAGCCTGTTCTGGCCACCCACTGTAAAAGAGCAGACCCCAGAGCCCGGTGTGGTAACCTAGTGGCAGAAGTCCCTTGCCTTGCAAACTCTAGGGGTTCTGATCCCGGCAGTCCCATACCCCATCCAGCTCCTTGCTTGTGGCCTGGGAAAGCAGTCCAGGAGAGCCCAAGGCTTTGGGACCCTGCATCCACTTGGGAGACCCGGAAGAAGCTCCTGGTTCCTGGCTTCGGATGGGCGCAGCTCCAAACATTGCATCCAGCTGGATAGTGAACTAGCAGATGGAAGATCTTTCTGTCTCTTCTCCTCTCTGTAAATCTGCCTTCCAAATAAAAAATAATAAATCTTTAAAAATGTATCAAAAAGGAAAGTCATTGTAGCCTTCTTTCTTGTCTCATTTATAATTTTAGCCTTGGGGGGTGATCTCTCCCAGATTAACTCTTGATCTCAAAGTCATACAATCACAACTTATATATCTGATCATTATTTTATGATACATAAATTTTATCTCTTTGTAAGGCAGAGTTACAGGGAAGAAAAGAGAGACTCCACCCAATAAAGAGTTCACTCCCTCAAATGGTCACAACAGCTCAGGCTTTGCAAAGTCAAATCCAGGAGCTTAGAACTCCATCCGGGTCTCCCATGTGTAGCCATGGGTCCAAGCACTTGGCCATCTTCCACTGGTTTCCCAGGCATATTAGCAGGGAGCTGGAATGGACGTGGAGCAACTGCAACTCAAAACTGGCAGCCATATGGCTTGACAGTGTTGCAGCCTGCAGCTTAACCCACACATCACAATGCCAGCCCTGACCCATCTTTTCAGTCCTTTTGGCGGAAACAACAAAAGGGGTACAAATAGTCTGAGATCCCCACAACATGGCATGTGCTCATCTTTTTTAAAGATTTATTTATTTTTATTGGAAGGGCAGATATACAGAGAGGAGAGACAGAAAGAAGATCTTCTGTCCGATGATTCACTCCCCAAGTGAGTGCAACGGCTGGAGCTGAGCCAATCCGAAGCCAGGAGCTCAGATCCTCCTCCAGGTCCTCCACACAGGTACAGATTCCCAAAGCTTTGAGCCGTCTGCTACTGCTTTCCCAGGCCACAAGCAGGGAGCTGGATGGGAAGCAGGGCTGCTGGGATTAGAACCGGCGCCCATATGGGATCCCCAGGCACTTTCAAGGCAAGGACTTTAGCTGCTAGGCTGCTGTGCTAGGCCCAGAAACAGTATTTTGAAGCTATGGCAATCAAAGACCAGCACTAACATATTCATACCTTGGTTGCATCTAATAAGTGAAAATAATTCTTAATTGCTTGATTGGCTTTTCAATTTATTATAGGATTAGCAAAATTGTAGGGGCCGAGTTCGTGGCATAGCACACATTAGGTCTCTGCCTGCAATGAAGACATCCCATACGCGTACCAGTTCACACTCCAACTGTTTTACTTCCAGTCCACCATGCTGCTCATGGCCTGGGAAAAGCAGCACAAGATGACCCAAGTGTCTGGGCCCTTGCCATCCAGGTGGGAAACTGGAAGAAGCTCCAGGCCCCTGCTGTTGGCCCAGCCCAGCCTTAACTATGGCAGCCATGGGGATGGGGTTGGGGAGTGGCAGGTTACAGGGGGCAATCAGTAGATGGAAGATCTGTCTCTCTCTTCTTTGACTTTCAGATAAATAAATATATTGTAAAAATAATCAGAGCATCCAATGCTAAATCAATCCAAACAAAATCTGTCTGTATATTTTTTTGAAATATAAGGAAGGCTAAACCTTTATCTCACACCTCCAGCCTCCACAATTAGAGAAAAAAAGCATTAACCGTCCCATTCTGTGGGACTTTGGGAGAAGGCAGATCATGGCCCAACATCCTTAGGTGTCTTCACACACATGGGAAAATCCAGAAGAAGCTGCTGGCTCCTTCTCTGGCCTGGCCTGGCCCCAGCTGTGGCAGCCATTTCAGGAGTGAGCCAGAAGATGGACGAGATCTCTCTCTCTCTCACTCTACCTTTCAAATAAATTAAGTAAATAAATATAATAATTAGAAGAAAAAAAAAAGAAAACTTCTGTTCACCAGACCCTAATAATTTTAGGAAAATCAGAGGTAAAGGCTGATAAAACTAGAGGGAATAATAGATAACGATTATGCCTACAAAAGTTGCTCTCCACACTTCTAGCCCACCCTTCTCCCATTGAAAATTCTCACAGATAAGACAGCAATGATTTTGTGGAAAGTCTCTTAGTAGAAACCTTGAAGCTGGAAGTTTCTTCTGACTTATGACTCTGAATATTTGGACCCGGATCCATTAGGATTGATTCACTACATTTATTGAGGGGGCCACACAGTGAAGGAAAGCTTTACTAAACACAGTGCAGTGTACTGAGGCCTGTGTCCATCAGACGGCTCAGCACAAGGAATGCTAGGAGATGGAATCAAAAATGCCTTTTCTTCAAGATGTGCAGCAGAAAAAAAAAATTCTTTCATCTTTCTCGCAGTCCACCTGGACTGTTGAGAAGGGGGGTGGCTAATACTCATTATTCATTTTTTTATTCCATAGTTATTTAAATCCATTGCTACCAAAGAGAAGAGGGACTGGCTAAAGGACTTTTAACTAAAAATATAGGAGAGCCTAAAGTGACTTTATAAAGATGTCATGGCAATGTTACTTACTACTAAGTCACCATAACTCCCCAGATCCAAGCCAAGAAGCACAGATCTAGCCTTGAATTTTTGTCCTGGAATGAGTACCCTGTCCCCTCCCAAGGTCTAGTTCAACACATTTTCAGTTACCTCCTTCTTTCCAAAATAACATCTGTAAACTGACTGATGTTCTTTATCATCAAGAGAAAAGCAAGGCGGGTCTCATTCTAAGCGAATGTACTTCAAAAAACTTGTGGAAAAAATAGATAATTAAAAGGTAAGTTTATTTTGGTGGAAGAAATTTTTTAGATTATATATTTTTCATGAAATTTTGAAAATCTTCATATGCATGGGTTTTATACATTTTTGCACCAAATAAATTATTCTTCTGATTCCATTATTCCCAAACATTTCAAAGTACTTTTGTATAAATATAAATGAGAATCTGACATATAAAATAAATTTGGGTCAATCACCTAAAAAAATGCAAAAACCTTGTGTAGCTTATGGCAGGCCAAGGCCAGATTAGGATCGTAAACCGTACAGTGACATCCTTTGGGGCAGGTTACTATGTGAAGGGTAAGATGAGCTTAGCACCGACTATGAGGTGCTTTGAAAAACATTCTGAAGCATGTGTTCTTGTTCTTTTTCTTTTTTTCTGTAGAGAGAGGGAATATGCTCTAGAATGCATTCAAAATTATTTCACGGGCAAAAATAAGAGTCCATCAATATTTCAGGAAAATAAGCAGAGGTAGTAAAAACAGTAGGTTGGGAAGAAGTGAATGCAGAGTACCAATTTAGACCTGTCACTTAGATGGAGGGGACATAAAGTCCCAGGGCTCTCGCTCTTTTTTTTTTTTAGAAAGTAAAAGCCATTGGGTGCCATTAGAGAAAACACAGAAACACTGAAAACTGAATTAAACAAAATTTTACTTTTACTCTGAGCATAGTGTGAGAAAACTGTATCACATTAACAAACAAAAAAGCAATCTAATACCCTGAAACAGAACTAAGAAAAAACTTGCAGGCAGAAGAGGCGACACGTGCAAGGCCCAGAGACAGAAAGGAATAGAATATTTAGGAACATTAGAGAGATTTAAACAGCAGGACTCAGAAGGCAAGAATATGAACCTGGTTTAAAAATAATGAGGTAAGGCGAGACTCTCAGAGGGCAAGAGTTCAGAGAAGGAGATCCAGGCCACTGGTTCAAGCTGGGATCAGAGCTGAAACTGTCTTCCCTGGGAGTGTGGAAACCTTGTTCTATGACAATTTCAAAAGACAGTTTATCCTCTTGAATTTTACAACCCACCTTTCTGAGCAAAACTCCTCTCTAGGAGAATCCATAGCCAAAAGACTGTTAAGTGATTCTCACCCAGCAGGGCACAGCTGAGAGACCCATTGCTAGATCCAATGAACTCTTCAATTGGGCCAGCAAGAGAACGTTTTGGTTTTTACCATGGCAGGGGTTCCTGGCTCCTTCCTTAGAGGAGAAGTACACACAGAAGTCACCGCCTTCAGGGTAGGCGTTGTGGCTGTGGCAATGAGTGACATTTGAGACTAAGCTGAAAGTGAGCTTCCCCCACCCCCAAAAAAATAGGGCCCAGCACAATAGCATAGTGGTTAAAGTCCTCACCTTGCATGCACCAGGACCCCATATGGTCATCGGTTCTAATCTTGGCAGCGCCGCTTCCCATCCAGCTCCCTGTTTGTGGCCTGGGAAAGCAGTGGAGGACGGCCTAAGGCCTTGGGACCCTGCATCCTTGTGGGAGACCAGGAGGAGCTCCTGCCTCCTGGCTTAGGATTGGCCGCTTGGGGAGTGAACCATCGGATGGGAGATCCTTCTCTCTGTCTCTCCTCCTCTCTGTATATCCACCTTTCCAATAATAAAATAAAATAAATCTTTAAATAAAGATAGAAAGAAAGAAAGTGAGCTCCAACTGGTTAAGCAGTAATAATAATAGAAAGAATGTGGCATGCGAGAATGATTCTTACATGTTCATTCCGGCTGCACTACTTCCACTGTCCTGGGGATGGGACAGCTAAGTATATTGGAAGAGTCAGACTATTCATAGGAAATAGATCGTGTACACCAACCTGTCTCTAAGCACATGTAGTTGTTGTTTTTGTTTGTTTGTTTGTTTGCTTTGTTGTCTTTTTTTTTTTTGAGATACAGAGTGTCCAACACAGAAAGAGAAAGAGCTTCCACCCACTGTTTCACTCCCCAAATGCCCTCAGCAGCTGGGGCTGGGCCAGGTCAAATGGGCAG